CTGGGCGTTACTGGTCATAGGTAGTACTGGGCGTTACTGGTCATAGGTAGTACTGGGCGTTACTGGTCATAGGTAGTACTGGGCGTTACTGGTCAAACTTTGCTTGACATTCTACACCAATAAGTCAACGACCAAGAGACACAGCAGCTGGGGCAAGAGTTCCTCCAGCCTAATTCTAGGTTTACTGCCTCAAAATTGAGGAAAACATTCTGTGAAACATCCAACTATTACTGTTCCTTCCTAATTCTCTGATATATYGTATGTGAAATAAGTTTCATTCCAGTGTTTTGCACTACACTGTCAAGGCCACACCTATTAAAATTCAAATTAAAAATATTTACACCTTTCAGTGATAAAAACCTCACAGTAAGAATAGATGTTCATAGGTTTTAACACAAAAAATGCAAAGAGTTACAAACTTCTTTCAACCTGGCCTTGCACATGTTAGCAGCTGCTGAATTCTGCCCAATTTTCAGATGAACAGAGGATTAATCTTCCATGAAGTCTACAAAAAATAAATCCTCAAGTACAGCAGAGAAGACTACCTAAAGAACTTAGCCAGAAAAGCAAAACCTCTCTTACTGATTTTTGGGCAGAGAAGCCAGACATATGTTCAGATTTGGGAAGTTTGAGGAGAAGAAAAATAACCAAACAGAAAACAAAGGCCAAGAGCTTCTGTCTCTTCCTTYGCCACTTTTGGTCCATTTCCTATGGACTGCTATTCCCTTGAAAGCATATCCATATATAGGATGCTTTTATACTTCTTCAGTGAATTTCCYAGCAAAAAAGGCTTAGAACAGAGGTGTGAACCCAGGTCATTATGCCCTCAAATCGTCCAATAAATCATTCCTCAAATGGGCTTTAAACCTTCACRCTGAGCTGACGTCAAGCAAAGAAAGAAGGGCCACAGGGCAGTGCAAGAGCTCCCCACATGGCCCAGGGCAAATGAGGCCCCAGGGAAGARCAAAAGGGTGTCCCCAAACCCTTCTATTTCTTCTCCACAAACACACACCTCTGCTAAGCAAGGCAGCCAGACAAATGGGTCAGAAAAGGTTCAGGACACCCTACAGCAGAGCTRCAGACAACATTTCAGCAGGTTTAAGCCCCAGTGACCAATATCAAAGCTTACCTTTGCGACATGTGATTTGCCAAAGCTTGCAAATCACCTTTATCCTAGCAGCTTTAAGCCCCTGCTTCTAGCCATACCCACAGCACAGGACRCCTCAGAGACATCCCCACAGCAAACCACCAGTAGCACCAAGGCTGGAGGCCTTTGCTAGCTGATGTGGTCATGAGCTGGTTACAGACGCTCTGCAGGACCAAGGACAGGGAGGAATCCACATTCCCAGTCAAGCTGCTCATACATCAAGATATGCTGAGGACAAGGGTAAGTGAAGGAAGACTCAGAAGAGACTTCAACTCTCCTTCAAGGCATGAGGGTGAAGGCTCCTGAACTAGGGTTTCTATAGGGCTGAAGCTCAGCGAAATATCAGACCTCAAAAATCCCCCCAGATAGTCCTGACACTACATACATAAGCATTTATAGTGTATTCCTCTGTGCTGCAGCAGGAAATATTCTGAGAGTAAAGGTAGTAATTTTAAGTTGCTGACAATCTGGAGCAGAGCCCAGGCAGATTCTGCACCCTCAAACCAGTCTGAGAAGAACAAAGTTTCAAGAAGCTCCCAGTATTCATTTTGAAGAGTAGGAATGTAAGTGTGCAAGCACCCTGTGCCTACTGATAGGCTCAGGATAAAGAGCTGCACAAAAAAAAAAAGCAGAATTCTATGAGCAAGGGTTGCAATCATTCATAAAAGACTACACAAATTAAATCCAACTTCAAGCGAGTTAGAAGCTTTTACATTCAACCCAATTTATCTTCAGATGTTCCTGCTAAGACACCTATTACAAGGCACCCACACTAAAGTCTTGTAGCAAAAGCTTAGAAAACACTTCCTTATCTTTGCACATTCAATTATGGAAGCCAAAMTGCAGCCAAAAGCAACACCCTGAAAACCACACACCACAACATCACAACCCACTTCCATAATCTAAGTCAGACCTAAACTTCAAAAGTTCTTAACCTGGACAGAAAAGCAACCAAAAAGAAACAAACCACCCCCCAAGCACATACATGTTTTAGATATTATTCTTGTCCCCTCCCAAGTCATGAGGGCTGAGGATCAGTAACCAGATAGCTTTGCTCAGTGCAAGCCCAGCCACACAAGCATCCAACTGACAAAACACTCCATGGCCCTACAAAAACTGYGTTATTTATCTCCCTGCTCCTAACCAGTTTGTCTAAACCAAAGCCACAGGATGATTCTCAGATTGAAAACTTTGAGGCTCCAAATATTTTTCAAAAAGCATCTTTATAGCTCAGATCTCTCTGATGATGCATGTGGTTGTCTGGAGAGCACATATTTGGATGGCTCAAATCCCCAATGTTTGGTACTCTGCTGCTTTGAGACKGCCCAGGAATTTCATATTCCAGATCACCTTCATTCTTGGTGGTTTACAGCAGACACTTAGCCCTCCATGTGGTTTGCATTCCATACAGATCCTCAAAGAATCCATCTCACTTTCCACTTGCTGGGAGTAGCACATATTAATATATTCCATTATTTTAATTGCCCTCTCCTCATACTCTGCATGAAAGCATAACTGCTAAAAGGTGAGCACTTCCCATYGAGTTGCAGTGGTTCTTGAGTTTGTCTTCAGTTCTCCAGAAATGGTACAGTGATGCRCAGACCCCTTTTAAGGTTCTCATGTTTTACACAAGCAAGTTTTCCAGAATTTGTCATATTGATTCCCCAAATGACAGCCTTTCATCATTAGAACTTAATAACTAGAAGTTAGCTAATCTACACACCTTGTTTAGGCCAAGTCTGGTCTGCTATATGCATTGGTTACTGGAAGCCCTTTGGGGAAAGCTTGCTAACCTGGCCATAGCTGAATATCTCAGTTTAGCTAGGCATTACATACATGGCTTAGTCTCGGTCTACAGATCCRGAACAGGCATTTCCAGCTCTGACAGGACCACGACATGCTGCATGACAAGGAGCAAGGCAGAGCAAGCAGACATTACTCTGGCTGGAAGTGCGTGTGGGTCCCCAAAGTATTCTCCCTAAGGAAGCCTGGAGTACATTCCTTCTGAACTGCTTCACTACCTCTTTAAAATGAACAGTTTGACACTTTGACAGCCCTACAGAGCAATAGCGATGGAACTGAGGCATCCTGAGTCCATTCCAAAAGTGTGCAAGTTAGGGGCTCAAGTCCTATGTCAGATCTAGTGTTAACAAGGCACAATCTCTGAATTTGTTTTCGGGGGGTGAGGGCCTTTCAATCAGGCTCTTCACTGCTATCCTGAAAGCAGTTTGTCCCCTTTCCTTCACAGGGCAGGTTCAYAGTCCCCAGAGATTCCAGCTTTAAGGGCTCAGTCTCAAATGAAACCTGCCTTTTCACACCAAGCATCTTAAGCTGCTTCATTCCAGCAGTTACAAAGCACCCAGAGAAACCATCTAGAAACCYACCATGTGCTTGGCCCATTTTATTCTTCTCAGAGTAGATGTTCGATATCTACCAAGTACTGCAGACCACTGACTGCAAGAGACATCACAGTGGGAGAAGTTGCCACCTCACAGCACTTCCAAAGTTGGCTTGATGTGTAAAGTGACCACCCYGGAACAGAGCTCAGCAATTCCCCAGACAAAGCATCTCCAACAGAGCAGATTGCTATGCTCCTCCACTGGCATAGTGGTTCGTGTCCAAACAGATGAGTTAAAGACATATCTGCACACCTACCATGCTGGCTCCCAGCTTGGCACATGAGTTTACACTGTAAAGGAAGGAGACATCCTGTTTTCTCATGCCAACTTGAAGGGTGATAACCCCTCCCAGGGGCATGGGGAGAGTGCAAGGATGATCACACCTTCATGTATGGAGAATGGAACAGCAAGAATGTGCTCAACAGTTCTGGATTATCCCTGCCTATCCTGCACGCCACTATTTCAGGCAAGCTTTTTGGTTTTTATTCCAGGGACTTTAATACACTAGCAAACTCCAAGACAATCTGTGCTTTGATGTCAGTCTGATGCTTTGATCTGAAGACTCTTCATAAACTTTTGATTTCAAAAATTAAGGGTTAAGTGGAAATGGAGAAAGTGACTCAAAATTCAGATGGCCACGGTGGGAGCTATACAAAGCACAAAACCCAAGGCTCAATACAAGTACTGTATTGTTTCTTTTGGGCTCTCACTACAGCAGACAAACTACATTCTCTTCTTAAGAGGCACTAAGCTGATGTTCCTACAGCTTAGGTCTTGTTTGAGCACTTCCAACTCCCACAGCACCACCACAATCACCATTGGCTTGCAAATCTATCAGGAAGAGCCCACTGGACAAGTGCTGACTRACTGGGTTGCAGGGTGCTGACTGTCTGCACATGACAATAATCAATCCATTTAATCATCATTGCTTAATGAGAAATAAAAACACCTTCTACATATAGCTAATGTCTTCATTAAGTGAACACTGAGAACTTCTCATCTATAACATGCCATGTCGCCTGTTTATAGGYTTTTATCAACAGGTTTTCAAATGAGAAATAAAGAGTGCTATTACACATATCAAAGAGCATACTCAATGCACACTGTAAACAGGACATTGTATCAGAAAAATTCAAAGTCAGGCCAATGCTTCYATAAACATTGGCCAACATACCGTCAGTGAAGTCCAAAGCGTACACTGGAAATCTTCGTGCAATGTCATCAGAAATCCCCTTGCCAACATTGAGAAACTCATGCAACTAAAGAAAGGAAGGAAGTGCTGTGTCAGTTTAAAGGCTCACGCATTGTTAAATTGTCCTTATTCAATATTGATATGAGCAAAACTGGTCATTTTGAATAGGGCATTCAAATCAGATTTTACAATGATAATGGAAATAAACCCTTTGCGTTTTAATAATGATTTATATCCTGAGAAGCATTGTAAGAAAAACTCCCAAATTACCATATTTTCCTCCCTTCCCTCCCTCCCTCTTCCCCCTCCCCACTCATATCCCTGCTTCAWGACTGAGGGAACAGATACAGAACATGGAAGTGACCCTCCAAAAACACTGTTGGCCAACAMCACAATTAGATTCCAGGGTGAAATCCAATTGCTGGGTGATGCTTAAATACGCAAAGCATCAGTGTTGGATCAGAGCAGCCCTTCCACCCCTCCAACCAACATCTTCCTCTTTAGGGAGCAGTTTGCCTGATGGACCCTGAATTCATGGGAAAACCTCTAGAAGGGCCTCTTTGTACAAAGCGTTCTCTCCCTCAACACCTCCACAAAGGAGGAAGACTTCAAATCAATAGCAAGATACCTGTCTACACTTCAAGTTCTATTGAAAGAGAACACGCTGGAATTACCTCAGAAGAAATCCTAACTTCTGTCCATAAACAGAACAAATGCTGTCCCAAAGACCTGACATTACAGAATCACGGGATGGTTAAGGTTGGACGGTACCTCTAGAGATCATCTAGTTGTGTTCCCCTCTGTTTCTTCTCTGGGGACCTACAGGCTAACAAGTATTTGTTTACAAGAGCTGATGTGCACCAGAGGCAATACAGAGATTCTTAGAAATACATGACGGCTGTTATTGACTTCGAGCCTCCCAAATCTCACCACTAAATCCTTAAGGAAAACACACTGAAAGCATCAGAGYGAGCAACACTTGCAAACAAGACACCTGCCTTTTTTTTTCCCCCCCTTTCATCTTGAACTCTAAGTATAAATACTACTTAAATGCTACTTAAAAAATGGACCTTTTAGCTCTGATTACTCCAAGTCAACTCACAACATGTTTCCTGCAGACCTAAACACAGAATATGCACAGCCTCTGCCACAGTGTGCAACAGGAAAGTAGAAAGTTGTCACAGGTCCAACACCTTTGCCAACAAACCAACTCAACACAGCAGAGACCTAAGTCTTTTGCCTGGCTTATGTGCTGTGAAGCCTGACGGATTCAGGAAGGACTTGATGCTATTGTGTTCATTTAACAGACTACAGCTTCATCTTTCCTCCTAGAATTCACCTGTTTCACAGTGCCTGCAAGTTCAGAGTGATATCAAAGTAAAACCTCAAATTCACACCAGAAAACACAAACAAAAAACCACTAGAGACAATACACCCCCCCTGTCAGAGCAATCAGAATTGTAGGTGCAGAAGATTGCTAAGACAACCAATTCATGTCAGTTGCYGTATCTCGTTTCAGCTCCTGGACTCTGTTCTCTTTCCATTAGCTAATTGCCAATACACTTGCATTTTAAGTCTCTGTCCCAAACTTCAAGACCAAGACCTAGRTCTACATTCCTTTAGTGGTAGCACCTCTCATGGCCCCATCTGTGGTCCTCTCAAGGCAACATGCTGGTACTGGCATGCTTGCTCCAGAAGGCCTCTTTCCCAGAACTACATCCACCCCACCAGGCTAGAGTCCGAAAAGCCTTTGAAAACCATCACTCAAGTACCCTACACAACCTCCCTCAAGCTCCTATTCTTTTCTAAAGGTCCTTCTAGCACTTTGTGCTCCCCCCACTCATAGAGGTGGGAGTAGAAGACAGCACAAAGGAGCCTCCCCTAAAAAAAAATTGCTCAATTTATGAGACATCTACTTCCCATTTTACAAATTCCTTCAAGTATCTTGCCATAAACTGCCACTGCTTGGGTCAGAGCATGAGGCTTAATCAGCCTTACTAGTTTTGCAAACAGAAAATATCCTCCAAGTGCACAGACTCCTGCTCTCAGGCCCCAAGTAAAAGAGCAAACTCCTTTTCACATGGGTTTATATGTGCAATACAGGAGCTCCAGATTAGGGTATTTAACTTGGGAATGGCTACAGATTGTACGAGACTAGGGTGCAATTACAAGTTAGTTATCACATTAAAYGCTCCCTTTCATGCAGTCTATTATACAGAGGAAGCAAAGAGAGGTCTAGTAGAGACTGTTCTCACACAAAGTGATGAAGGCAGAATAAGGACCCCAAACTAACTCTSTTTCTCCAGGCAAAACTTTGTCAAGAAGATGGAAAGATAGCTCTTAAGGGCTATGTTGGCAAACCCACTTAGGGCAAGATAAGCACATTCATCTGTGAGACATCAGAACACGCAGGACAAGAAAAATGAAGAAAATGTTAAAAAACAACTCAAGTCAGTAAGACTAAGAATGGCTACTGCCAAGWACAGGCATTAAGGAAACGGACAGCTATTTACAGGACTGTCATCAGCTGATGGTCTGCCTGGCCAATAGCTCTTGCCAAGCTAGATGCTAGGAATACCACTTCTTGTGGCCAATATTTATCAGATCAGCACTGCTAACAGAATCCTGCTCTCTGATTCTGAGCCATAGGGCTGAAATCCCTRTAGACTTTAAAAAGGTACTTTTAGCAGAAGACCAAGTTGTCCTGAAGACACAGAGCTAGTATCCTGCCAGCCATCCCTTTGAGGTTCTGAGATCAAAGACTTGAACTTGATTCACTCATGCAACACTACAGAAGTTAGTCCARATATCACTACTCAATGACCGAGTTTGAAGAACATTTCAAGACTCACAGAATGGTTGAGGTTGAAAGGGACCCCTAGAGATCRTCTAGTCCAACTCCCTGCTCCAGCAGGGACACCCAGAGCATGGGGCACCCAGTCACATCCAGGTGGGTTTGGAATATYGAGAGAAGGAGACTCCAAAACCTCCCTGGACAGCGTGTTCTATTGCTAAGACTGGATCTACTAGCTCTTAAACTTGCAGGAATGGTAACTGACACAAACTTCAAGTTTCTATCTATACACGAGGGCACTCTATCGGAAGTCATGGACTTGCTCATTTCCAGATGTGCGGCTCAAAAACTTAATCCCACTCCAGAAAAAATACAAGTGATAAAGTCAAACTGTCACAKCATAGACAACACAAAGCTTTATGACTAGGAATTCATAGACAAGAGTAGCAGGCTAGAGATGGCAAACAAGTTTGTTTTGCAGGTATGTTGTGTGGTTAAAGGAGAAATTTATGAACGGAAAAGAAATGCAGTAACCAATACACAGGAAATTCCAGAAAAGAAAGCAGAATTACAGCATTTCCCTCAAACTTCAGAGTAGAAAGACAGCTCAGTACAGAGCTACAGATCAAACAGCAAGAAATCAAGCAAAGTATGTACTGGCAGATAACTTTCAAGTGAAATTACTGTGTATGGGCAAGCTAAAGAAATCTGACTGTAGAAAAGACAAGCAGCAGCATCTTCAGAAACTTCTGATTGTAAGGATTAAGTATTTTGTGTTGACAAAGCTCAGCCATCCATTAATCCTATTTTCAACTAGGTATKTGGAAGCAAAGCCTGTGACCATCAACTCCCTACTGGTCTCGGTCCCATCAAGCCTTGCACCTTAAGTGTCTTCCTTGGGTTTATGGCAGGATTTGAACATGAGYATACACCTGTTTGCAGAAACTTCAGTACACAGAGCTTGCTAAGGGGACACGATGGACAAGCAGCATAACTGCTTTTTTCCCCTTAACCCTAATCCCTCACATGTAWGCATTTAGACACCACCACAACACGAAGACACAAGTTGAGCAGCCTTACCTTGAGCGGCTTAGGGCCGTGCGGCTTATGCCCATCGCTCACTGCTGAGGGTCTCTGATTCACCACCGTGAGYAAGTGACGTTGGTGGACTAAGGCTTCCTTGAACTCCTCTTCAGTTTTGGTCTCTAGAAGTTTCTGCCGAAAGGTTATGTCTGAAAACATTGTGGCAAAGGTCCGGCCCACCTCTGTGGCTGTTTTGGTACTTTTCTGAGAGGATGCAGTAGGGAAGAAAGGACAAAAACAAATTAATCTTTTTCCCCTCCCTACTCCCAACATTCTTCTTTTACTGCCAGAAGCAAGCCACTGGTTTGGCCCTTCCAGCACCACTGTCTGGTGAACATRCCATCCTGCTAACTTGCATTTGGGACCCCCAAGGATTCCCCATGGGGAATAACACACACGGAATTGTTCCAGACATGAACATACCAACCACAGCAGGAGCTCTGTGCACATGTTGATGCACAGTCCAACAGCAGAAACATGGATCTGCTCCTCTGCCAGCTTACCAGGACAAAAGCCAAAACTGAATCGTGCTGAGCATATGTACAGTTTATCCCCCAGTCCTTCAAGGCTAGGACTAAATAGAGAAGGATTCTTGCTTATTCTGTAGCATCTCCTGCTTTCCTGCTACTGTGGTGCAAAGATTCAGTGGTCAAGACTCCTGCAGGTGGAGGTACCTGGCTGTGTTTTCCAGGAGACAAGGATTATTGTGTACAGCTGTTTCACCATCTTTATATTTTCTAGGCATTAAAACCCAATTTGGTTGGTTTCTCTAGGGCAGTTCCAGTAGAAGTAGACATTAAGAGCTCTCAGCTAAAATAACAGGGAAGGCACAAGGCAAAGGCAGAGAAAACAAGCAGCTGAACTTGAAATACTTGTATGCTTCTCTAACCCATGCCTGGAAGGGGCAGGAGACTTAAGAGCATGAAAAACCGTCTATTCACAGACTAACATTTCTGTGAGCTACAGGCTTGGTATTTGAGGATGCAGTTTAAATAACATCAAAAAACTTTTCCCATTACTTCAAGCACAGTGTAAATTAGATAAGGCAACACTAAGGGAGAGGAGCAGGGACTTGGCCATTTAGTGCAGGGACGGACACATCTATAAATCCCGACCTGCTCAACTTACTGCATCACTTTAGCCAGTGCAGAAAGATACAAGGCATCTTGGAACACAAGATCCTAAGCTATGTGCAGTCAGGGCCAAGACTAAAAGCTGTTTCTGATGCTAGTGTTTTAAGCATCCTCTTTGCTACACTCAGCTCCCTCTCTACAGCTGGAGACACCCAAACAGCCGCCCTCCTTTGGAAGGCCTCCAAGCTCGTAGCATGACTGTAGAGTAGTAGTTAGCGTGTGTTATTGATCTGACTTAACTCTCGTGATTCACAACAAAGCAGATGAGCCATCTCTTCATGAGCACAACCCAATTAATTCAGCGCCGTCTGATGTGGAGGCATGGACACGTGGGTGACACCACACTAGTGTCTGTCATCCTTTAAACACTGATTGCTCATCACCTGCCTCCTTCTCACCTTCACCCTCTTCTATTGCAGCTAATGTCACTTCAGATGTGCTCACTAGAGYTCCTTTGACTTTAGCTTCCACAAGGTCTGGATTTGGGGTCTATGGAGCTTGTTTTAAGGGCTTTTGAGCTTGATCCATCCAGATTAAACCAGCCTGGATTTGTCGCAGCAGGGGAAAGGGTGAAGGCTTCTTATTTCACCTCTGAGATGCAGTCTCCTTGAGCTGAACACAGTCAATAGTTACTTCAAGTTGCTCAATACTGTCTACTTTCTTTGCTCCCCCACTCTAATTCATCTTTCCTAGAGATGAGTGTTTGTAAGTCTGTGCTATTCCTCTGAACTGTTCAAGTCTTTCTGTCCACTCTCTACATTAAAGACCAAAGAACTGTATTCCTTTGCACAACAGATGCCCATTTCCTGGGCTTTTTTTTTCCCCCCATCGCCTCCAAGCAAAGCTCATTTAATCTGTTACTGTCAGCAGGTTAATTATTTTAACTGCTGTACCAGAAATGCGTACTTAGAGCTGGCTAAATCAACTCATTTAAAGTAAAGCATATTGGCAACTGCAGCTTCGCTTGGCCTCCTCTCCCTTTCCTTAATTTGATGCTGTCCATTAAAGCYGCAGACTTTCAGGATACAAGCGGATGCAGAGCTGTTTGTTGGGTGCTCTGCACGTAGCTGGCTGGAGATAAGCGAAGTGCCACACAATGAGAGAGAGATCAATGCAACTGCAAGCCCGGCGAATTGTTTGCTCGTGCATTTCATAGGGGACATCAATATGTTTYCAGCCTGTAGGGTTTCAGATCTATGCCAAGAGCACTGAACCACTCAGTCTGGAAAGATCTGCCAAAAATCCTGGGAAATAAGGAAACATCAGTATTTCCATTTAAACAAGGGTGGTGGTGGAGGGAGGAAGACAGACAGACAAGACGAAGAGGTCCCAGGGTCACACAGATAGCATCGAGAAGCAGGAAATGCAATCCGGATCTCTCGYGTTTCAGACAAGGTCTCCGACCTCCCCAGCACCTCCCAGGAGCACAGACAGAGCAGCCTAAGAGCTTAGTCAGACAGCTGGAGCATGACAAGGTCTTGAGCTTTGAACTCCTCAGCCATAAGACAGCAGGACAGGACACACATGGGCTGATCAAGTCTGTGTCCCAGGGCTTTTTAGAAGTCAAAACAACAATTCCCAATTGCTTTTAATGGGCCCTATGATACAGTGAATGAGTGTGTTACCAAGTCATTTCTTGGTATTACATCTGTGCACAACGACCAAGCACACCTGAACAAGCTTTAACCTTGTTGTTCAAGGTGGCAACAGCCCTCAAGACATAGCCACAGGGACCTTGAGATATTTTAACCTTACAAGCACCCTGGCTCCCAACTAGCCTCACCCATACCACAGCACAGCTCACAAAACTGCATTTCTGTTAGCTAAGTCGGTGCTTCTACAACTGCATCTACACTGCAGCATAGAGTTTTTGCTGGCATAAAAACCCCCAGAACTTCAATGTAGATACAGACCAAAGACAGCCCTTTTGCCAGGACGACTTTAGCCATTAACAGCTTTCTTTGCCTCAAAAAGCCAATAAAGCTGGAGGAAGAAAAAGTATCTGTAGATTACCACTTGTAGTAACCACAGATTGTGGAAACAGCAAGAATTGAGCATAGGGAGACTACAAATACTTGACTCACAGCATTTCCACCATGTCAGGAGAGAGACCTTTCTGCAGCACTGGACAAGGATGTAGTTAATTAAAATCCATCCCTGATGCACAGTTGGAAAGCAGTTTTGACAAGTGCTGGGAAGGTTTCAAATTTTGTCATATCCCCCGTGCCTACAGCAGAGTGGAGTTATTAACCTAAGGAGAAAAGTCAAGAAAAAGCAATCCTGGGAGAACCCTCAAGCACCACAGTAAGAGAGCAATACTCACCATTTTAGGAGGAGCCAGGACTAATATCACAAATCTCACTTCGCAGGAATTCTCACCCCAATTCTGAGGCCTCTCCAGGCGGCTGATGCAAACGTGACGTCGCTGAAGGGACTTTATAGTGCAACTGTCAAAGGAGACAGCATGATTATCCCTCAGGCGTTAGGAAATGCTGCCCTATTCTGGTAGGCAAGATCTACCAAGAGACATTTCAGCGGTGAGAAACACAAGGCAGTTAGTTGTGACAAGGCTCAATGATGTCTTTAACAATGACTTCAAATTGTTACCCTGATTAGGACTTTTGTAGAATTTGAACTCCATGCTTTTATGGGATATAGCTTTCAAGATTAAGAGGCTCATTCTCACTCCTCCACATCTGCTTTTTTTAATTAAAAAAGGCAAGACCATGACTTGTATTTGCGGTGCTACAGAAGCTTTTGCTAAAGGGTCCTCTTAAAAAACCAAACACCTAAATAAATGGTAAGCACTTCACACCTCCAAAAGGACTCTGGGAGGTGAGTCTGGGAGGGAGGCGGATTGGACTAGATGACCTCTAGAGGTCCCTTCCAAACTTAGGGATTCCATGGTTCTATGAAGTGAAATGAAACAGAAAAAGGTGAGGCAAGGTACCAAACCAACTCATCTCCATCTCTCCTTGTGCCTTGGGGAGATCTATCAGTAGATGTTTCAATAACTTTCCCTTTTCCCTCTCAGCTGTTTTTCCTTTTGGTTAAGGACATGCTACAGAGACCAAGTTGACCTTCACGCCTAAGGCCCGGGGAGGCTGGAGCAGTCTCAAGTGCTGCTCAAAAGCCAGTGTTCAACTGCAACTCAGGCAACTGGGCTAGGCATGGAAAGGACATTTGATTAAGCAAGACTCCCATAACCAAGACCAGTGACCAGTCCTTTGATACTAAGGCCACATTTGCAGGCTGTGAAAGACCAAGAACTTCACACTGCGATATTTCAAGTGGTGATCAAGGAACTATCATTTTTTCCTACTGGAAACTCAGAAAAAGCAGCAAAGTAATTTGGTACAGTTGCATAGTGCCATGGCAAGAGCAGGAGGTTAATGCCAACCCAGACAGCAGCCTTTTCATTCCCTCCTGATACTGCAAAGTTGTTCAGGAAGTCACTGAAGAGACAGATACATGGTCTCTGCATAGTCACATGCAGAGATACAGAGGTGCCCATTTCCCCGCCTCAAACTTTCAAACTGTGGTTAAAAAAAAATCCCTAAAACTATTTGTTATTTCCTTTTCACCCAAACACCTATCACAGTAAGTCACTCCATTTCTTCTCCAAAATTATGACCTCCCTTTCCTTCCAACATTTTCAAGCACATGTGCCGTGAAGGCCATTCCAGCAATGACTCCTGAAGCTCTTTAGCAGGAGATGTTCTTCAGGAGCACAGGATATTGAGGCATAAGATATTCTTAGTTCTCCTTAACTCGCATATAAAATTACCTCTTCCTTTTTAAATTGTTTCTTTTCAACAAATGATCAGGATATCATTTTATTCATACAAATTAGAGGCACTTGTTGGAAAGGGGCACTTCCAAATAATTTATAGCATGCCGATGAAACTATGAGGAAGACATAACTTCATACATTTCCTAACTTCTCTCTACCATGGCTTCTTGATTTTTTTTTTTTTTTTTTTTTTTTTAAAGTTTCTCTCTTCCAGGGCTTATTTCTGTAGGGAAAAGAGGGGAAAAAAAGGCAAATCCTTAAAATAGAAATAAATCTAACATGACTGAAAAATACAACCCAAGCTAACCTCTTCTAGAGACATCCAAAATGCAGTTGAGACCACTATCAACACCCAGTGTAGTTCAGGACCTGCAAGAGCCCTTGTCCTTCTCTCCCAAATGACGAAATAAGCAGAGTCAAGAGCACTCTCAGAGCCTCTTGGTAGCAGTTCTGCTGTGGCTGGGCAGCATGCAAGTTACCTTTTGTTGCAGGAAATCCACCAAGTTGACCAATACCTTTTATGAATATGGATTAAGGCAAAATAAAGCATAAAATGCATGAACAAGGCAGGGAATAGTTAATACGGCATGAGAAAACAGATGCATTTGTATTCTGCTTATATCTCAAGTCAACATTTTAATTCCTCAGCTTCTAAGCTGGCTGATCAAGTTATTTGCTCTGAAAATGAGGCCTCCCTAGTCATTTAGAGAATCACTCCTGTTCTGGAGATGGCCAGAACCTGATATTGAGTATCTCCAGCACTACACTAACACTCTGCAGACCCTACCTTTTCTACAGGTCAGGTAGCATATGATCCAGCAAGAAACAAGACCCTAAAATATGACCTCTACTGAACTGCTAAGTACAGTCAGAAAAAGATTATTACAGAGCAAGCACTGGTCACATTAGCAGGTACTCTGGTGCTGGAAGGAACAACGGACCCCAGGGCATGCAGTACAGAAGCTTACACTTGTGTTGATACCAGCACACAGGAAGACCTCTCCCCTTGTTACAGTATGCAAAGTTCTACTGCAATACAGCTGTTATTTGGGAAAAAAAGTTATAGGGCTATAATTAAGCCACCCGCTTATTCTTCAAAATCGAGTTGATAGCCAATATTCCCTCACTGAAGGGACAGTGTTGACCACTGAAGATTGCCCTAGGGCAACTCAGGGATGCAGTCTAAACCTATATGGGTATTAAATGGACTGAGTCTGTTTAGGAAGGGTCAGAACAACAACAAATTCAAGGAAATGACATTGAGAACAGCTCCAAAGCATACGGGCATGGCTGCACGGAGTGGAGGAGCACAGCTTGGAGAAGGAACACAGCCTAAGTGAGGCAAATTCCTTTTCCAAATGGAGCAAAAGTCTTCAAGCAGCACTTAAATTGCCACTTAAGAAAAAAGAACCAGTTATCTAAAACCAAAGTGAAACTTTGGACAAGACGTTTTTAGTTGACCCTAGAACTCAAGCACTGTTTTGAGAGAGTTCTCTTTTGGTTTGAGTTGTACTACTTTTAGCTCTCTTGGTTTGGCCACATAGCTTAAAGAAATCCATTTTTACTCAGTCACGTATGAAAGTACTGAGCTATGATTTAATGAGATGCCAGGTTACGTTTTCAGCAGTTTTATCCTGATCCTCCAATAACTCAATTCATTAAAAGCCATTTCAATTATAGCACGTTTTCTACTTCAGTGTCCTCCTATGGGTTGCACGTCCAGGAACAGTCACCGGGGCATTCAGATGGTGAGAACTGGCAGGGCTCCCCCAAAATCACTGATACACCGAGTCTCACACACACTGTGTGTGACAAGATCTGACCTACGCCCAAAATGTTATCAGAGTAATAACACGTTTTTCAAACAAATCATAAAAGAGTCAAATTATGGTGACCCAGGAGAAACAGAAGCTCTTTAAACAGGGCAAGAAAGGAAGTTAATTCAGAAACAAATTATCCCCTGCAGTAAGAAAAAATGCCCAGCAGAGGTAATCAGCTAGCCAGCCTTTTCCTGTCCCAGGGCAGAGCAACAATGACACTTACAGTTCCCGCACACTGCAAATAAATCTTCCTCCAGAAACCAGCTCCAAGCAAAGGCTTTCAGAAACCAGAATTTGCAAGCAAAAAATTTGCTTTTGGCCAGCAGGATGGTTCACCAGGGCAGCAATAACTCAGCCCAGTTTGCACCAAGGCACAGCAAAATCCCCCCAAGCTGCATGCAGTTTGGGACTGCTAGAGACATCCTGCTGAGCTCTGCAGAGACTCATCTTCCCTAGCAGTTAATCTTTAAGGGAAGCAGGGAGAAAGTGTTTCCTACAGGCCAGCACAGGAGAAAGCCTCCTCCTTCCTCCAGGCACGCTGCGGGCACTGAGCCAAAGTGCCTTTCCCACCAACAGCTCCCCTCTGGGGACTCCAATTCCCAGTTAAGGGCTTGAGTTTGAGAACTCCCTTCCATAACAAGGCAGCTGCAAGAGCCTCAGCTGGTCAGCAGTACCCAGAGCAGGCAGAGAAGGGTGCTATGAGCACCCCTTTAATTCTTTGAGCTTAAGGAATGCTTAAAAGGTTACATTTGCAAGCTTTGAGAGAGAAGCTGCCGTTTAGATGACTCCTAATTCTATAATCAGTTCTGCTAAAACATGAATATTTGCTTTTGTAACAGCTGAATTAATTCCCCACAGCATCCCCTTGTTATTTGAAAGAAGGGACACTTTGTGGAATACACAGCAACTGATACATTGCATTTTTAAAGCTATCCAATGTTGAAAATTGCAGCGTTTTTCCTACAGCTTATTTAGAACATACACACCTCAAGGTCCAGAGAGTGTCTTAAACATGCTAGAAAAACTTGGTTTTTACTTTTTAGAGATGCATTAGTAGCACGCTCCACACAATGATCAATTCCACATGAAAACTGAAAAATGACTATTCAAACACTAATGCAGACATCAGTTGTGCTTAATGCCCATTATAACCTCACACTTCCTTTTTTTTCTTGCATTATGCTCCTCCACAGGACCCACGGCAATGACACTGTAGCAGAATAAGCAATTTTAGAGCAGCATAGAATACATGAACCAGCGAGCCACCCCTCTTTGCTTGCAGAGGCCTTTCCCCCCTGCTTTGCCTTTTCCTGCCCCTTCAGCAAATTAGCTGAAGGCCCTCAAGTTAAGGTGTTGGCAACAGACTTATCAAGGCAACCAAAAGAAATAGCTCTTTAAAGAGCTTTCAACTATTCAATACAAGCTACAAGCAGCTTGGCCCCGCGTCCTTTTCTCTTTAAACTTCGGGGGGAAAAGCCTTATCTATCCTGGTGAGCATAGAGCCCAGAGACAGTGCTGCTATAGGAACTTCATTCACCTCAGACACCATTTATTAAATAATCCACACAGCTGTTGCTGCTCCTAGGAGGACAGTGGGGAGATATGCACCAGCAGTCAGTTGACACCTAATTTAACATTCCTAACATTATGGGCCCTTCTTCCCACCTACAAGAGAAGGAAGCAAAAGCTCTGCAAGAGCAAAACTAATAGCCCTTGCATAGAGGATCCTTCCCCATCCTTGCCAATCCAGGCATGCAGAGTACCCAGTCCATCCTCCTAAGGCATCTGGTCATGGTGAACTGGGCTGGTTCCTAAGGAACTCAGAGCAGTTTCTTGGTAGCATTTGTATCTGAAGTTCCTGCATCTGCAATGGGTAGCAACATGCCCTCCTAAGCTCCTGCCACAAACCAAAGAAGTTAATCTGACACAGATCTGGCACAGAATCTTGTGTCCAAGGCCATCCACGTCCTGATCTTCAATTCACCAATAGCTTATTCTGTCATGGGAACAAAGCCCAGATCCACAGGAAAAAATTCTGCCTTTGATAGTGGTTCAACAGAACTGAAATTTCAGAAAGGAGCCACTTGAGAAAAATCCCACATGAGATTTTCCTTTATGGATTGAAGCTATCTTCAGTTTTAACACTCCCCTTTAAAATCAAGTCAGAAGCAGCACTCCCAAAACTCGGCCTCTTCCTCATTAATAGGCTTAAGCATCAGGATAATAATTGCACCTCAGTTGTTACAAATATGTATTTAAGGTAACAGTGCTGTTTTGCATGTAGAGTTGAGCAAAGAGCATAGGTTATTTGAAGTGCAACAATAAACAACAGCACAGAATTAAGGGTTCTTCCAGCTTATACAGGAAAACTAAATCCTTTACCAATAAAGTTCCTTTTACCTCAGAGCTTTGGAAGCTGTGTTTTGCAATCTGACTTAAGGAGAGATGTAAGGTCTAAAAATATGGCTCTCAACCTGTTGCACAATAGCTACAGCAGAAATACAGTACAATCATTATCTAATTATATTTAATAACTCATCATTGCTTTCCCACATTATTCTCTTCAGAGGCACAAAAGAAAGAAATGAGGAAGATACTGCACAAGACACCTTCAGTCTGTAAGCTTATTTTTCAAATCATGTGTTATGGAAGCTACTATTACTCATGGATATATTCAAAGTTCAGCCTCATTTTTTTTTTTTTTACAGAAAGGCTGAACTTAATGCTATTAAGCTTTGTATATGTAATCACAGCATTTGTGTCATGACCTCTGGATGCACATTGTTATCTGGCAGCACTTTGCCAGAGCCCTTCAGAGCCATATGACATGCTGAGGTGGAAGAAGGGATGGCCACTGGATCTGCCACCCCCAAGGCTCTCCTGTTTTTCCAGTATAGTTTTCAGAAACTCAACTCACAATTTTAAATTCTTATGTTCACCTCCAGTCATTTGCACAACATTCCAGATCAATTTATGGCAAGATTAGATGAGGGATGGGGAAAACAGGCTTCTCCCAAGAGATGCTCCAATGCTTTTGTCCTTCCCAGAGTAGGATGAACTATCATTGTCCCAATCTTGTCCATGGCATACAAAGAGAAAACACTGCACAAACACTCTACCTTGACTAGCAAATACTATTTTGCTATATGAACTGATCTTGTGTAAAGTGTTCTCTAAATCCCAGGTGTAATCCCTGATGGTAGCATATACACAACAGACTCATTATGTGGCTTACTTATTCCATAGAACAGAGCTCTGATGTGCAATAATTACCTTTTAAGTAGAGATCATATCTTTCTATTTCATAAGAGAGCAGAAACAATAGGGAGAAGAAAAATGTCAAGCAGAAAAACCTCCATTTGTTTCAGTCATAAGCCAAGGGTAGGAAGAACAGCACTAGGAGAAAAGATTGTGACAGTTGTCCTAGCAAACTGGCTGTGAAGGCTACATTAATACACATGCACTCTCGGAGCCCTGAGGCTGCTATCCAACATATGTTAAATCCCAGAGAAATTACTAAAATATTTCTTGACAACTCGCCTTAGACTACACACGCGTGCAGTAGACAGATGGCAGACAAATTATCTTTATGGTTGGCACAGTGACTCAGCTGGGAAGGGACAGTGTGGCTTACCCAGCCAAATTGGCTTTGCACAATCACTTCAAAATGCATCACACCAGTTTTGGTGGAGCAGTGGCTTGGGTGGAAGCTGTCCTGCCTTATAAATCCCAGGTGTCAGAGTCCTTTGTCTTAGGGGTCTGCTAATATTGTCACACATTTGGAAAAATCAAAAGCATCGTTAGTGCCTGAATTTCTGACTCCAGTTTCCAGCTACAGACTTCAGGTATTTTCAAAGGGCCTAGAAAGCCTTTTAATGCAAGGTCTCTGTCCTGGCCAGAGTGAACATAGTCCACGAATTCCCTTGTCCTTTACAGAAGAACCTCATTAACATTTCTCAGTTGCATTTTCAGGGTCAGAGGGTTTTTTCAGCATCCTTACCTTGTGAACACCAGATTTAGACAGTATTCAAGTAGCCTAATGCCCTGCACAGGCTGTGGCCATCCATGCCTATGGGGCTGCTTCCCCACCTGCCTAACAAGCAGGAGCAATAGAGACAGAGGTGTCACAGACCAGGACAGATGTCCAGATATGGCACTATCACATGGACTTAAAAGCATATTCTTGAGTACTGTTCTTCCACAGAAAAAAAGAGAAGCAACAAGTTTTGAAGAGCCCGTGGATTCCGCTATTTAATCTAGGTACTTACATGATACAGAGCCAGGACTGCTGATACTGCACCCCTGTGACTGTCGCCGTGACCCCTTGAATTGTATCTGATAATAGATGAACTAGGGAGGGAAAAAAAGGAAAATGACAAATTGGTATTTATTTGGTCTGCAACAGCACATTCCCTTCAAACGGAAGCTAAGTGTTAATACAAAGCATACTATCTGCATACTGGATTGATGCAAGGGTGGCAGAGGTGACAATAAGGAAAGATGAAGCATTTGACCTGCTGCTTCTGATTTCTGCCCTTCAGTCTTTCCCAGCTTGAAGAGACAGCTGTTTTTGCCTCCTAACCTCATCCTACCATAATATGAGATTATTATATTAGCATTATTCAATGCACACAGACAGGGCTGGAAGAGATTTCCTCCTCCAATTTCCCTGCCTTCTCTTCCCTCTTGGCAATTACTGCTCTCACAGGTCATCTTATAGAACTGCTCTTTTTTTATTAGCAGAAAGCTTAAATTAATAAGATAAATGCAAAGCTCTAGGACAGGCAGCAAGAAGCAAAGCATGAGCATGCTTACTACATGCTCAGGACTTGACATATCTGTTAAACAAATTCACTCAGGCTGTGACAGTTACATTTGAGGTGCGATGTACATGTGTGCTTATTCATTCCTGTTGGCTCTGAAACATCATGGGTGCCTACAGAGAAACAAGGCTTAGTTAAGCTTCTTTACAACTTGGGCTAGAGGGTAGTGTTTTAGTCTGCGCTATGACATTTGTTTGTAGTTTAAGATGACACTTAGGCTAATAATGTTGGAGGGGGCTACTTCAGTGCTAACTTCCTATTCCAATTTCTGGAGAAAAACAAAGCACTTACCACCTGCAGCTAACTGGAAGCAATGCAAGTGCTCAGCCCTTCCCAACCAATATATGGCAACCAATATATCCCCACCTATATCAGGCAGTGGTCAACTAGTCAACTACTCCAGCCTGTGTGAATTCAGACAGTGAATCACAAGGCCAAAGACCTGTTGCTGAAGGGACACCAGCAAGTGGCTCTTTGTCTACAGGCATCAGCCACTCACGTAAGGTCAAGCACATCAGCCTAACGGGGAGAGGCTGAGCACTCCAGCACTGGGGACTTCTCTCTCTGGTGAACACCCATATATCTCATCTTCATCTGACAGAGACCAGATTCCACTCAAGTATAAAAATCCCAGAGACAAGACTCTGCAGTGACACAGAAAAATAACTCCCACTCCTGCCATGTGACATGCACCATGCAAGTCCAAGGACCATGCAATAGTGAGTGTTTTACATGCCACCAAAGAAAGCAAGACAAACAACTTATAGACAAAGGTGAATCAAGAGCTAGTTACCGTTCCCTTCTCGAGGGGTCCCTGAATCTGTGAATAAAGTGCTCATGATTTTTTCAAAGTTGCAGCTCGGCTCCGTGTTATCGGGGTCTTCAGCAAAATGCTTCAGCATCTCTCGAAGGACATCGTCTAAGGAGGTTGCAGTTTCATCAAGAATGATGCTGGCTCTGGCCAAGAACCCATCCAGGTCTCGGTGGGCTCTGACTTCCTCCTCAAAATTCTTTAACTTCAGGTACTGTGTAAAGAGGTCAGAGCATTAGACAGACTCATGCATCATCTAACTGCAAAGAATCAAGACCCAAGTAGCCGACAAGTTTTGTTCTGGTACCACCAGCAAGCCAGAGATTCTGGAATCACTTTCCCAGTGCAGATGACATTTTAAAGGAGAGTTTATGAGATGCTATTATTGCACCAAAGGCCTATATTCTCAAGGCTTATGCTAATTTAGTCATAGGCAAATGCCTAGGCACCATTTAAATCCTGACGCAGAAAGCAGAACTAACAAAATTAGTTTCATTGCCTAGGATGAAGCACAAAAGTTGGTCTAAAACCATAAATGCTCAAGGTAGCATTTAAGGGTCTTTTGGTTTAAATAATTCAGCATGTTTATAATGCTGGAAAAGTTATTTTGAAGAAATATACTTTGAGCTCAGCATCATAAAAAATTACTAATATGCATATCAGCATCCCAAACTAGCTGTTCTCAAACGAGATGCTTCCTCTCTCCCTGTTCCCCCAGTTAGGCAGTCTGGAGAGGGAGATGAGGAATGCTCTCTACCTCAGACCCTTGCCCAATCCCTATATCCCTCCCACCTCCAGTTCCACATCCACAGAATTTCTCATCTTTTGCACATAAGATTTAGCTCTGAATTATGGTATAACAGGAGATGGGAGAAGCCAGTGTCAGCCTTTGTCTTCCAGCTCTGCTGTCCCTTTGCTGTCCCAGCCACTAGCTTGGGGATGTCTAGAGACGGGAAAGGACAGTCATGCTATGTTAACTCCCATTTCCTTTCTGCATTTGTCAGGGGAGTTTAACTGAGTTAAACTAATCCCCATTCACACTCCTGGGAAATCCAAGCATGCAGTTGGCCCTCAAAGTATATGTCAAAGTGGCCAACAATCACCATCTTCTGCAGTTTGACACTAAACATGGAAATGAGAATTGGATATCATTGCATGGATTTTAATCCCATTGGAAACCAGCAAGTTCATAATGTTGAGGACCAGTTTTTAAAGATGCATTTAGGCTCTCAGGCACCCTCGTGTCGTCACCCTGCTCATCTGGTCAGCTTCTCTCAAGAGGCCCCTTTCAACCTCAACTATTCTGCCATTTAAACTCCCTGCTCCCCTTAAACTCCGTAAGGACCAAGACCTGAACTCCTCCAAAACTAAGTTGCTTCCAGGACTAAGAGCTTGACACATTCCTCCCGTGCTACTGAACTGCCCCCCAGAGCCTGAGCTAAAAGATTCCCTCCTCACACATACCCCCCTCTATCTTTTCCACTTATAGCCTAGACACAGCAAAGAATGCTAACAGTTCAGTAATTACTGTAATTATCAAGGCAACTATCAAGTTGTCAGTACGCATCCATTGCAATTAACACTGTTTTACTTTGCATCAATCATTTCTTACACAGTATAGTGGAGACAGAGCCTCTCAAGGATTTTAGTTCCCACCCCCAAGTCCTTGTTGCCATCTGTTCTTAGGAGAGGAAACTGAAGTAGCTGCATTGCAATCCCAACTAAGTGCCCAAGGGAGACTTAGGCTAGCACAAGAGAACAGATTAAAGACCTACAACCATCTTAGAACAGCAACTGAAACAGGTGCTTGTGGAGTCACAACACGACCAGCAACCATCTCTGCAAGCAAGGCAGGCTGGTTTTCCTGAAGCAAGTGACCTCCTCAGACCAACCTGGATATAGGTTCCAACAGCAGAGGCCAAATGAGAGGATCTAGTGGTGTGAACTGCACAGATAGTAGCCAAGGAAATAGAGAGGGTTAAGAGCATGAGGAATGCCAGGCTGCCATGTAGGTACCCTCATGGCTACTGCTCTGCTGGGAAGGTATCAAAAAAACAACTAGTGGCTTCATATCTATATTTAATAAGTGCTTATCTTCAAGATTTGACTCCAGCTTTGCCAAAGACTCTGGCAAAGCCTTGGAGAAACCCTAGGCCTCAGTACTGCTGTCTTTCCCCACTCTGGAACAAGGGTCCTTACCAGCATGCCCGTAACACTGGCACGTTACACACTGCAAGGCAGCTTGCTAGCATAGGAGGTTATAAATAGATTCTTCTCCTCTTCTAGCTGAGACTAAGAATTACTTGATAAAGCAGCACCTGGGAGCTAGCTCAAACAGAGCCTGCTCTACAGGCAGGACACCCACTGGTTTAGAGAGAAATTTATGACTGCTCCTTCACAAATATTTTTAGCTAGATAGCCAAATCACACCAGGATATGTGATACTCGAATATGCTTAGCAAAAGAAACAAGACAGCTACTAAATAGTAGCCTTAACAGAGCCCTGTATCCACAAATGCAAGCCTGAATGCTTCTGTTGCAGCAGGGAGAAGCAAGGCTATTGAGTTTACAGAAGCCACAACATGTTAAACATCCTCCCTCGCTTCAGGCAGGCAGGTTCACTGCCCAGCCCACTACAAAATGAAGGTGCAAGCCCAACCTGTACCAAGGGAACAGATTTCAGAGCTCATCAGGAAGGTCCAAAGGGTTTCGTTATCTGCTGGGCTGCTGCTCCGAGTCACATCCATTTCCAGACACTGCATGTATATTACAAAAGGTAGCAAAGTGTTTTCCCAAACACAATTCCCTCTCTGCAGCCAACAAGGACACTTGCAGCAATTTCCTCAGAAATCCATTGAGATTAATGTTGGGCAGTTCAAAACCCAACAGCAGCCTCCAGATTTTTCTTGTACCTACAAAACAGTGCAATGGTAGAAACTTGGCTAAGACTTGGATTGCACTACCAACAATCCCCAAAAGGCATAAACACCCCAATGGGAAACATCTCTTATGCTTATTCTAGCGATTCTCCTTCTTCCTAGTCACCTGGAACCATCTCTCCATTAACCTTGTCCCATGTCCTGAGTGGGGCAGCCCCATGGATCTGCCCTGCAAGGCTCTTCCCACTGATCTTCCCATGCTCTCCATCCTCCAACCTCATTATCCACAGATATTCTGAAGCAGAAACAGCAGAAATCCTCCTTCAAGAGCCTTCTCACCCTAAAGCCTCCCAGGTCCTCAGTGCAGGACTAGCTCTATATACACAGTGTGGACACATTGACTGAAAACTCATGTGCCTCTGTAGATGCTTCTAGCCCACAATTACCATCATATTCAATGCGCCCAATTCCACCTGTCCTCCCTGGAGGACATGGACAGTAGCATCTTCTCACATGCCCAGCTAAAGCTGGATAACTCTCCGGCATTTTTTGCTCAATAGCACGCTAAAATTAAAATACCAAGAAAACAGGAATACTACAGATCTGAAAAGAAAAAAAAGTTTTAAAAACCATGTGTGTTGCACCTCCCATCTATTTTCTATCAGATTTAGATCCTGCATTTGTGGTTGGATTTTTGCATTTGAGAAGACCAAGTTCTTCTGTTGCTTTAAATCTAGGGTTTAAGCCTCAAGGCAGCTCAGGTACTAGTATCAATCAAGGCAAGTTATTTACAAAGATTCCAGCTCAAGCATGACAGCATGCAAAAGAGTGAACTGCACCTTTTATGTATGAACAACCCATTTCCCCTGCTGCTTTTTCTTTTTTTTTTTTTTTTTTGCATATTTTTATATAGTTGGGGGTTTGCAGGACTTCTACCAATACAAGACCTGTGCGTTTCTGCCTTATCATTGTCAAGTTAAGGACTCGAGAGAGAGCATAAACTAAATGCCATTTCACAACTGCCCTTTCAAGGGCCCGTGCATCCAGGGAGTTCATTCCTGCTGAACCTTGCGAGCACAGATCTGATTAGCTAGGATAAACAGGAAACCAAATCACAGCAGTGTCTATGGGGTGTTTTTGTTTTAGGCTCGAGACAAGCTAAGCAGCCGGAGACTATGGAGCAGGCCTGGATCCCTTCACAGGCAGCTACAGAGAATGATGAATTAACGTGTCAAGGAATAGTCTGGGACAAAAAACAGTGGAACAATCAGAATTACAAAGAAATTGCTTGGAAAACAAGCGCCACATGGCTCTAAAAATTCAAATTAAGTCAGATTTAGGGAGAGAGGCATTAATGCCTTCTGTTCAGGCCAGAAAAAAACCAACACTACTCCAAGTGTTTCAAGACTCCTTTCTCTGCTTCTAAATTACTCAAGACATTATTATAAATAATGCCTACTTACCTTTCTTGATGTGTGTAGTAACACGCAGCCAGCACTCTCATTTTCAACTGGAAAGAAAAATGGGGGAAATGTTACTATCACTGGTACCTGACAGGCAGCAGGAATCAACCAGAAGGCTCAAAGCAAGGTGAAAGATTGTTCTCTTGGCAGCAGATGATCTCTAGAGAGAAACAAAATCATTTTTTTTTACAACATTTCCAGGTTTGGGAGCATGAACCAAGTACAGAAGCAGCCTTTTGTATTATCATCTGAGCAGCTTTTTATCCTGCAGATTTTTTTTTTTAAAAAAAGGTTGTATATGTTTTACTCTTCGCTTCCCTCTTGAATAGGAGCTCCTCACAGGACTCCTAATCCTTTAGGTAATCATTTAATCCCCTGCATCGCTGCTTGATAGATTGAGGCTAAAATTGCATGAGTCATCCTGGTGTGGAGCCCGTTCTCGTAGGGAGCAAGTCGACAGCGGCAGCGAGGCTCTTCCAAGGGAGCAGCCCGCGAGAGGTGAGACACAGCAGCTCGGAGATGGGCACGTTCCCGTCCTGCCAGCTCGCCACGCTGCCTCCATAAATCCAGCTGCAACACAAGCTCTTGAGAAGGAAAACTGGTGCTTAGAGACTGTTAAGTGCCGTTTATTACACAGCTAAGTTAGGATAGGGGTACCTAGGAAGCTCCCGTGTCAAGCTTCCAAGAATCCAGGGTAATATTTACTCAGGATATCTATGAGTTATCTAGTCAGATATCTATGCTGAAAGCTAAGAATCATCCAAAAAAGCTCAGGTTTTGCTACAACTCTGCAGTGCCGTCATTGAAGGCTTCTCTTTAGATTTTCTTGTATCACCTGTGGATCTCTGTCCCTCAAAGTACAGTTTGGGCATCCTTCTTCCACAGTCATCTCTGCACCCTCCAAAACAACAAGCATTCAGCTACTACCAAAATTACACAGAAAGCCTGTGTAAGAAACAGAATTACACAGAAAATGTGAACAGTTTTCATTCTAATAAGCATAGTGATAGTATAGGAAAAAACCCACATTCCAAAGGCCAGAAACTTTTCCAGTGGTCAAGCTGTGCAAAAGCACCACAATGCAACCCATAGTCACAGATATTCAGGGTATTCCTTTTCTTATATTTAGGAAATATTCCTTTACATAGGAATATTCAGATATTCCTTTCTGTACCAGCATTTCAGAACCTAACCTGTCAGAACTGCTGTAATCCCATTTTACAGGCTCACCCCACAGCAGGCACCTATGAGCCTTGCTCCACTATCCTCCAGAAAAATAAACTGCCTGCAGGTGCAAATCAGTTGCATCAAGAACAATAACAAGAGCTTAAAAAAGGCACAGGGAAAGCCGTGAAATTTAGGTTTTCCTTCCCTCTCATCCAAAGCATCACTGATCAACCAGGAATTCACGCTGTGTTCACACTTGCGTCAAAAGAGGTGGGACTCAAGCAGGAAATAGAGTTGACTTTACAGCCATTCCCCATAAAACAATTTAAGATGTTTCAGAGGCTGTGGTTGTCACCCAGCTTCTCCCCAAATTTGCCAGGTTGCTCTACATATGATTAAAAGAATCACTTGCTAGATACGTCTGCCTGGTGCAAGAGTCCCAGTTATTACTGCTTTTGACACATCCTTTGGCAAACACAAGCTGTTTTATCTTGAAAGCACTATTTATTATTAAAAAGCAAGCAGCCAGCTAAACCAGAAGCATCAGGCATTTTCCTCAGGCTCTTACATTCGTAGTTCTCCACTGCTCCCTTACTCAGTTTGCAGTCTAATTACACATGCAGAAGTATGCTGGAAGATTTAGAAGCCATAAATATTCAGCTGGGAGAAAACATGTTTTGGTTCTTCAGCTTTTGCAAGAAATCATTCCAGAAACAAAAAAAATACCCCCAACCCTGAACAATAGCGAGCATACGTGAAAAGCATGTCTGCAATCTGTCCTTCACTCTACTTGGATGCATAGAAATGCAACAGAAACTTATGCTGCCCTTTTATCTTGCAGCATCTCCCTCATTCCTCTCATCAGGTGAAGCGTGCGCCAGTCCTCTCTGTTGACAGCACTCAGGTGCTCAACTTGGAGGAGGTCTCGGGGCTGCTTTATCAGCACGAGCAAGAACGTGTCATTACATCTGCTGGAGCAGGGGCTTTCAGAGCGCTCCGAAAACATCCTTCTGGGTGCGGTGAATTTTGGAAGGCCTCATCCATCATCACATCCAAGCTGTCACATCAGTCCTGATCTGAAGGAAGGAGACAGATAGGTAACACCAAGCCAGTTGGGCTTGGATCTCAAAGGCTTGCTGAAGGGTTTAACACAAGTAATGGGCAGCAGAAAACAAAAAGTGGGAAAACACAGACTTAAGTGCATTTATACCCAGTTTTTGAGCTACCAACTGCCCCATCACAGGAATCCCACTAATCCCAATGGACTTGTCATTGGCAATGGTTGGACAAAAGCCTTCTAGGACCGAACAACACCTCCCTCATTGCTTCATTCATAATTTTCTCCTTCCTGGCATCTCCAGTACTGCCCTCCAGGCTTGGAGGGCATTTACCCTTGCACTCCATACAGCCCCTTTGCTGTAGGAAAATATGAGTTCACCCTCAGCTGACAGCAGCAAAGCATCTGCAAATGATGCACCCACTGTGTACTGCTGCTAGGTGCAGCAATCCTGACTTTCTGGCATTAAACCTGGTTACTAAAATTGTCCCAAAGCAGGAGGAGGTCAGGGCCATTTGATATTTACATTTCTATTTTTATGGTCCTCAAAAGCCTGCAAAAGTATTCCAGGCAAGACTGGAAGTTTTGAGCCTTGTCCCCCATCCTCGTATACAGCTAAAGGAGAGCTGCTGACAGGGACTGTCCTCATCTTTCAGGCTGTGCTCCAGTTCTGCTCAGAAAAAGAATAAAAATAAAATCAAAGCATCAAAGATAGCCATGAAAGCATCTCAGATGCTCCCTGGAGCCTACATCAAGGTAACGTGCATACTCCCAGCTTCCTAGGTTGCACACACATGAGTACGCAGCATGACTGAGTACACTGCAAGCAGCTCACCAGTGCTAACCTCAATTTCTAGCTACAGTGATAAGTTGCCAACATTAGATTTTCTCCTATAGCCTCATGTCAGCACAATCAGAGCCCTGGCCTTGCACCATGCCATACCTCCCTTTCTTTTCTTTCCCACTCTTTGCAGCAGAACAGAACCAGGCAGCTTCCAGATATCAGCAAAGAGATTTACTACTTGGAAGCAGGAAATGCAGCAAGAAATCTCTGCCATACCCCAAAGCAATTTCATCCTAACCAGCCTTTACATAACACAGCTGAGCAGAGCAACCCAGAGAAATTATGTCTCCTGCTTCTTTTTGTTTCTCTTCATCTGAAGAGATTCCCACCATTCCCTATGCAAAGGCAGCCTTGAAAAACCTCCTGAAAGCCGTAAGCCAAAGTATAAAGCTTTTCACTTTATGCCTTAAGAAGAGTCTTGCTTTAATTGCATCTCTTTTGACACCTCTTCCCTGCACAGGTCCACAGCGCTGCCCTTAACACCTGCAATAACCAAAAATTCTTGCAGTGAAGCAGCTCTGTGGCACCACCAAGGGTTTATACAATATGCTGAGGTTGTATTTTCTTAGGGATGCAGGAGGGAAAACTAAAGAGCAGAGACTCTTTTGTTGCACAAGTGCAAGTTTAAGTTGCTTTAGATCTACATGTAGCCTCCAGCACATGAGGGCAGCAAACAGGATAATAAAGCAGGTAAGGATACAATTTTAGTATTTCTACGCTTTTCCTTCAAAAAAAAGATGTTAAGAATTAAGCTGAAGTAAAAACATTTCAGGGTTTTTATGTAATAAACACTTTTATCTGGATATTGGCAGCTTCAAGGACCCTGAGCAAATCTAAACCCTCGATCGCTTAAGTGGGAGTGCATCATAAACCACAAAACTGCTCTGTTTTAGAGCATCTTGTGCCTTGAAAACACAGACACAACACAGGGAGTTCATTAGAGGCAGAAAAGGTGATACGAGCTCCTTTGCTGGAGATGCACAATGAGGATCTCAAGAGCATCCTCCGCTTTGGTGGCCTGGCTGCTCCAAGCCTGGACTCATCCCCATCTGAATTGACTTATTTAAGCTAGAAATCTACATTCCCAGCCCAGCTATCCCATGTTCCCACGATACATGGGATAGCTGGGCTGGGAATGTAGGTTTCTAGCTTAAATAAGCGGGCTGAGGTGCCCCTTAGCCCAGGGTCTCCACCCAGCAGAAAGCCTAAATCCAGCTAGGATCATGGCTCTTGAATGGACAGCTGGGGCTTGGCAGCGAGGGGCAAGTTTCTGAAGCGGGTTGGCAAGGGGCAGGCGGGGGGGGAAGGAAGGCCTCACCTGAGAAATAGTCAGCACAGGCGCTGCACGAGTGCGGCGGGTGGAGGATTATCGGCTGACACCACGTTTCGGACATGGCTGAGGGATTGGAAAGAGACACACTGCACACAGCGGCCAGGGCTCTTGCACATACCCCCAGGGACAAGGCACGAGCGTGGAGCACCACGAGGCTCAACATGTACCCTAGGATACCCCAAACAGGCACGCACCGCAAGAGTGAATTTTCCAGTTTTAAAATAGGATTTTTCACTAGCTTTCTTGAAGGGGGTCGGGGGAGGGAATGAGCAGGGCAAAGCCGCATTTCTCCGCTTGCCAGGTTGCTCCTACGCAGGTATCAGGCACTCAAAACCATGAGGAAAAAGGTCCCTGAAGCAAATGCAAGGTGAAGAGCCTAGCACAGCTAACACCACCGCCTTGCATAAACGCTACCCAGCTCCCTCCCCCTCCTCCGCTCGCTTAATAAACATCGCTTTGAAAACACCCTAATCAGGAAATTCGGACAGAGGCCACCCCCCCACACACACACACAACACAATCGGTGCATCCACTTTCCATTAGAGTATAGGAAGCCCGAAGAGCCCAGCGTCCCCCACTGACATCAAACTGCTAAAATAGGAGTTATCAGATGGAACGCGTGGGTCAGCATTGTGCCGCGAGACATAAAAAGGAGCTCGGCATTAATGCGAGGAAATGTGACTATTGTGTGCAGAGTGATACCCGTTCAGGCCCAGACCACTTGTCTCTGGACACTACTCTCCCTGGAATATCCTTGGCGCCAGCATCGCGCCTTTCTCCTCGTCCCCTTCGGAACAAAAGGGCTGAAGTTATCAGCGCGGCGGCGCGTTGGGAGCCGCGTTTCGCTAGCGGTGGGTGAGCACGTGCGCGTCCCGGCAGCGGGCAGGCAGGAAACAGTGGATTCTCCAGCTCTAGCCCCCATCAATTGTCCACAGGGTGGAACAGCCTTTAATTTCTTCTGAGGCTCAAGCTGCCTCTTATTTTTCACCCTCCTCCTCCAACCAAGCTACATCCTGCCAATGGGGTTTTCGCTAGCAATCAAGATTCTTGCTTTTCCTCCAAAAAAGCCCTTTCGCACCCCTTTGGGCACCCTTTGATAGCTAAAGGCACCAGTATGAGCATTGGCTGCAACTGGCAGCATAGGTTGCAAGAAGTTTAGTGGCTACAGCTGCTAAAGCCAGACCTAAGTTTAAGAGCAACTCTGCCAACTCCTCTACTGCAACCTGGGAAGCAGGATTTAAATCCAAGCCACTAGAATAAGGGTCAAGCCATGAAAACATTTCCAAAACCTTTCCAATCTCTCCTAAATCAGAGATGTGATTCCAGGTCTCAAAGCACCCAGCTTCCCAAAAAAGCATATTTCTGGGGTGAGCTACCAACTCCTGCTGAAGATGGACTTCTCCCCACCAAAGCTTGATCTATGAAGCTCAGAGAAAGATAAGTGAGCTTTATCAGCTACCACAAGGAAGCAATAAAAACACAAGACAAAGGGCCCAAGTGTCACAACTGAGAAACATTTCAGTATCTGGCCATCTGCACTCCATCTAACAGCAGCCCGTGCTAATTAAAAACAAGACAAGACTTACATTAAACCTTGCAATTTCTTGAAGTTATTGCCTTTTACATACATCTGTACACACAGCCCAACGCTTGATGACAATAGTTAATTATCAGAGCTTTATGGGCCATGCTATGTTCTGTTGGCTCAACGTTTCATCCCACACAGAGCTGTCTTGAAAACAGATGCACAGCAAAGTGCATCTAATTATGCTTGTAGTGAGCTGCACATCCATCATATGGAGATTAACAGCTCAACAAGCTGATAGCAGAGCTGTCACCAAGTCTCTAATTCCACTTACGTTGCTTGCCAGCACCCATAGCCTGTGCTACCACCTCTTCATCCTCCTCAGGAGCATTCACCAGCCCCATACTATAAAGCGGACAACCACCTCACAGCAGCTTTCCAGAGGTGGACTCTTGCAGGAGGCAAATTGGACCCTAGAGCAAAGAGAGCATGGATGGATCCAGAATGGGCAGCTCAGGCCCCTCAGAGCAGCTATTTTTCTTCTTGTTTCAAGCTACCTTTTATTTTTTCCCAATGGAGATTGAGCAGTTGCGTTTTAAGCATTCAAGGCCAATGCTCAACCACGCTCCAAGCAAGCTGCAACTCAACCCCAGGCTGTTTTTGAAGGGCTGCATGACACAAGAGGGCGATGTTCCCTACAGAGTCATTTGGCACAAGGAGGCTCTTCAGCTCACAGCCTTCACCCAACTCAGAAAAAGCAAGAAAAGGAAATGGGAAACAGAAAGGTGGTGTTTCCATACTTGTTTTTCACCGTCTAAACAGTACCAGAGCCTGAGGCTGTAAATTCTTGGAAACTAGCTCCCCTAAGAGCTCAAGTCACCCATTTTTGCAGGCATCGTTTACCTGGACAGAGCAGGGTTTTGGTCCCTGGGTCTGTGGATAAACACTGCAAGGGCTCAGCTAGCGCTCAAAGCAAAACCTCCAGAGCAGCAGTGCAAGGGCGTCTCTAAAGCTGTCCCCTTGTGTTCCCCTGAGTGAGAAGTATCCCTAGAAGTACTTAAGTCATGAGGAATTTAAGCCTTGTTTTTGGGAAGAGCTTAGTTTATAAAGGAGTTTTTGTTTTTATTCTCCAAGTCATTCTGGTAGCTTGGGTTAACTGTATAAGCAGAAGAGCTGAATTTGGCTTGCCAAGAGAATCAACTGCAATTCCTTTCCATTCAGAGACTAGTTTGGCACATTAAAGTCAACTCTGCAAGACAGTTCAGCCAAATCACTTGGAGAAAGTGATGAAAGCCTAGAGCACTCAAGCACCTGAAATCTAGAGAATTCCATGCATAATACTTGCATATAAACAGAGTTTTGGCTACCCAGGCCACTTTGATGCTGCTTATAGCAGGGGAATAGGGGTAGACAAGACCCTGCTTCACATCTGTCCTCCTAAAAAGTCTGGACTCTAGATCCTTGCAACCTACATCCCTGTGTTTGGAAGAGGACTTCAGCACTTCAGAAGCCCATTTTTCCTTAAGCATCTCGAATACCTCAGCTAAAGAAAAAGGATACACCTAATACCAGCAAACATCACTGCTTGAGGGAAAGAAGGAAACCTTTTGTCCTATCTTGAATAGAAGGGAAAACATTCATAACAAACCCAAGAGGACACAAGAAAAGATAGTTTCCTCAAACACGGAAGAATCTGCAGCACTCGCATTCCTCATCCCCAAACAATGCACCCCACGGCATTAAGCCCAGACCTGTCATAGCAGAATATAGTTGCCTTTAAGTCTTTCAATTAAGATGGAATTTGTAAAACTGTAGGCTTTAAAAAAGTACTAGATATGATTCTTAAATTAAAGTCTCTATTCACACGCAGAAAGTAGCCTTCAAGATAGTCAAGCACACATCTGACAGGTCTTTTTTACATTGCTGTTTCCAACAAATGCTTGTTATAGATTAATCAGGATCTGCTTACAATCTAAAAATAGCTTTTAGTAAACTTTAAGATCTCTCCAATATTGTGGCACCAAGCACAACCCAGAGCCCTCAGCCTCTAAGCTTCAAAAAATTGTCTACATAGGCAGATTTCAAACTGCCTGCAGCAGCTGGGATAAAACCAAGGCTTCTCGCTTGTCCCAAAGGCCACATTTTCCTAGGCACATACCATTAACACCAGGTTTATTAGCTGTTCTCCTTTGCTATTTAGCATGGACATTGTAAAGCACATTAAAAACATAGACTGTAGTCAAACATAGCCTCAAAAACAGCCTAGGGATTTTATTCCTCAACAGCAACACCTTCACAAGCAGGCCAGCTCAGAGGTTCTCTCCACCTTATACATTGTATAGGGCAAAGTTAAAGGATGCTGGCCTGCCATGGTGGATGCGATAAGCATAGCTTTAGTCAGCCACGTCCACCTGCAACAACTGCACAACAAAGTCTTATTCACAGCCTCCTCTACCCAAGATGAGCACAGCGTTTGCACATCCAGAATGGGACTAAGCAATATAAGCCTTCCAGAATGCTCTGTCACCTGTATTTCAGGAAAATTTCCTTGCCCAAAATACCTTGGCACATGCAAGCCAAGCAACTGCGTAGGGCTGACAGCACAGCTTGCTGAGCATGGAAATCTCAGCAGTTCATTTTGCTGCTCTGCTGTCATATCTCACAGTTCTGCATGCAACACCACAAGGAGGAAATGCTGTCAAAGCCCTCTTCCACCACATGGAAAGCCTGTCTCATAACAGATATGTATATTACCCATGCTTATTTGCACAGAGTTTGGCACTTAGGCCCTCATTATGGAACAGGCAGCCTTATATTCATAAACAAAGCTTAATGCAATGGCACATTGCTGATTATAGAAAGTTTCCACAGGACGGCTGAGGTTGGAATGGAGATCTGGAGACCACCTGGGCAAACGGCAATGTCCAGTATCCCACTAAGTAACAATAAGTATCCCACACCAACACTTTGCACACATGTCTACTGCTAAACTGTTCAATTTGAAAGCAAGCAGCCTTCCAGATAGCACCAAAAGCCACAGGGCTTCACCCAAACTACCTTATTCTGCAGACAGCATCTTCCTGATGAGTTGGGATACAGAGTGACCCAGACAAAACCTACCAAAGGCTGCAAAAACAGCATCACACACACCAAGGAGGGTCATCAGTTCATGTTCAAGAGAACAGACCTCCACCAGATCAGCTCCTTCCTCATTTTTGATATCTAAATACATTGAAACCAATGGCAGACTACTAGATGTGAGAAACAAACACACCTTCAAAACATCCAACACCTGCGTCACCTATTTGCTTACTATCCCCTCCCATTTGCTTTCTTATCCAGCTGCTGGAGAGCACCAACAAACTAGGATAAACCCAGGGGCCTAAACCAGTTCTACTGTTTCCAAAGGAAATTTAAGGCACAATTAAAAACACCCCTCAAAACCCCTCTGTGTTTTCCCAACCCCGTCCCCCCCCCCCAAAATAGGGGGTCAGATGAGGGCTACGGAGGGACTCCCGCACACACCGCTCAGCAAAACACCAATTTTGCTACAAAAACAGCTATTCGGGCCCACGGCGGCGGGGCCGGTGGTTGGTGGCGACCAGCGCAGGCCCCGAAGGTGCCACCAGGCCCCTCCCCTCCGGCCTGTCTCCAGCCTCACACAACCTGCGCGTTTCCAGCAAGACCTTCACCTGACGCTCCGATTTTCCCCTTTACCAATGGAAGAAAGGGAAGATTAAAGGGAAAGAGAGCACCAGGAGACTTCAAACAGGTGAAACGGGTGGCCGGAAGTCAGTTCCAGAGCTTGGTTTCAATCAGGTTTCCCCCCCTAACCTGAGAACTCTCCATTAAGTGGGTGCAGCTGCAAGTTCTGCCAGAGAAGCTACAGCATCCGTTTTATTTATTTTTAAATATTCTTTAAGCCCCTCTTGCCCTGCAGCCAGGCCCCCACTCACCAGCAACGTTGGGCGGCACCTCCAGGTTGACGTTGACGAAGAAGCGGATGCTGTCGCCCGAGACGATGGAGGAGTTCACCGTGTCGAAGAGCTCCTCGCCGCCCGTCTCCTCCTTGGCCTCGCAGCCATCGTCCGTGTCGCACTTGAGGTACCCTGCAGGCGAGAAGATGGTGAAGGAGCTGTTGATGGTCACCGATGCCCACATCTGAAGATTGGGGTGGGTGACGTGGCACCAAGCAGCACCATCATGCCAGGAAGAGTGACCCATGATGGCCAGCATCAGCCTCGCTCTTGGGTGAGGGCTCCAGGAGCAAGAGCCCAGAGTCTGCCCATCAAGCACAAGACAATTTTTTTTTTTTTTATTTTATTTTATTCTGGGTGGAAATAGTTTAGGATGTTAGTTCTCAACTCTGGGAGCACAGACAAAACCTTCCTTTTATTTTTCGGTGTTGTTTTCAGAAGTGTGGTAGACGTGGAGGTCCTGACACTGCAGCCACTCCACCTAGGCCAGGACACAGCCTGCAGAGCCACATAGGGCAGACTCCTCACTCCTCTAAGGCCAAAAACTCTGCATGAGGACCATGATGCTAAAGCCAGAACTGCCTCTCATCCCCAGCCCAAACGTTTCCCCTCAACCCCCCCTTTTTTTTTTTCACAATTTCAAGTTATTAGCACTACAGTCATTTTCCACACAACTTCACAACCCAAAACTGAGGGAAAAAGTTTCCAGAGAGACACCTGGTGCAGACTTGGTGCTCCCTGCAAAGCCGAGGAACAGGCTGGAAGCAGCAGTGACATCAAGATAGACGAATTTCCCAATTACAATCAGCAATTCCTTGTCCTTCTGCAAGATGTACAATTACAGCTTAACCTAGCCTGCCTTCCCGACAGCAAACTAGCACATTGCAGCATTTTATTCCAGAGCTAGAGGACTCCTGTGTTCATGTATCATGTTTAATAAGAATTAGAGAGACTATAGAATGGCTATTTTTACATTACTAGAATTATTCAGCAGCTCCTACCCATTTTCCTGACAAGTCTTTTAATGCCTAATTTGAAGCAGGAGGGATATATTTCATTAGCTTGCTTTAGGCACTAGAGCAAAATGAAAAGGATGAGCTCCAAGGCACAGGCTTGAATGGAAACTCTAAAATATTGATGGCATTTTTTTTTTAAGCATCATAAAAGCAAACGCAGATGCAACAGCACCAAGTGCAGCAATTAAAGCAACATGTTCTTGAAGGGATATCACGCCGACTGCTTGACGCTGCAAAAACAAGCCCTGAATGGAGAGGCCACAAACAGGAACTTGATGAACCAGGACACAGACTGCAGCACTTCCTGCTGCAAGCTCTGTCCTCACAGTTGTACTTGTCCCAAAGCGCAGACTAATAACACACACTTGGCATCTGCGTCTCCCAAGGATGGCCCTTGCCTGTCCCAGGATCCAGAGCATCCAAAGCTTTAAGTGATTTCTGATGAAAACTGGTTATTCAAAGCATGGAGAAGCCCAGCAGCAACTCAGTTTCCCCTTCCCTACCTCTACCTGCCAAGCAGCCAGCAAAACACACAGAATATTCTCCCTTCCACCTGGGTGGAGTTTAGGCAGCTTTACATCTGTCAGGCAGAAACTCAACAAAAGCACCCAAAGATAAGTGTGATGATGAGAATATGGGAATAAAGAGGATATTAGAAATATTTAAATATGTTGCCACCCTAGGCCCCACACTAGAAAGTCTTTTCTCTGTGGACAGCAGTCACTTGAAGACAAATCCCATTTCCAGTTAACCCTGTCATCCTTGGAAAGGCCACATGTAAAAACAGCAAATAAAAACACTTTTGAAAGATGACAGTAGTAACTTAAAGAAAACTGAGCGTTAATCCGTTAGCATTAAAACTCTTCCCTTCAAGAAGATTCAACTCATCCATGACCATGGTGGCCAGATGCATTTCTCATCTCTCTAACCCTAACCAGCCTGACTGGTACTTTCTGACTTGGATCATTGATTTCCTCAGCTATTGACAGCACCAGTTGCCCCTGCAGATATTAGGGCTGTCAGCAAGTCTTGGTATTAGTTGAGCTTCCCTACACACTGGGGTGATTCAGACCTCAGTGATTCACAGCAGCACCCAGGGGCAGACAGGGAGGCCCACCACTGCCTGACCTTTCCTGTCTTGGAGTTACCATCCAGGTTATGCCCATGTAAGCTGTCACAACAAGTCTGCACATCTCCCTTCTCCATGGCAGGTCAGACCAAAGGCACACCAGGGCTCAAATGATTTAAGCACACAATCCTGCTTTGTCCCAGCTGAGTTTTTCCAGCATCTGAATGCAATCAAGACACAGACGAGCAAGAGACAAGCCATGAGAAGGTTATGCATTTGCTTTCCCAGCCTTTTGCAACTGGTTTAAGGAAGAGGTGACAGCAGTGGGTCCTGAAAGCAGAGAGGGTTGGAGACGGGAAGAAGCCGTGCAGGAGCTGGAAGGGCAAGGGTGGAGTAAGATCACAGGGTTGGGCAGAGGTCACTGAGGACTCTGGCAGGGGAAGCATCCTCAGTTCCTCCCTCTTTAGGGGAGGAAAGAGCAGAACAAAAGGCAGCCGAGCAGCGTGTCCCTTGGGCAAGGGATGAACAAAACACTTGCGTTGCAAATAATCCCAAACCTGGGCTGAACAGGAACTGAGCTCCCAGGCAGGTGTCTGCTTTGTCACTAAACTCAAAGCTTTGAGCCACTCCTGAGGCCTTTAGCCAGTGACTCCACCAGAGATTTTAAAACACCAGTGACTTGCTCCTGTCAATTACAAAACTTAAGGAGATTAAAAAAAGAAATAATGAGTTGCCTTCTGTGTGCAGATACATTTTCCCTTCCCTCTGAGCAGGGCTCAACAGTCACCTGCAACTCTGGCAGCAATTTTCCCACCACCCAAGGGATAACCCAGTGCCACCCTTATGCTGCTCAACTACTGCAGATGCTATGGGCAACGACAGAATAGATTCAGATCTCCTAGGAGGCTGATCTGCCTTTTAAAGCAGTCTGGAGCAAAAGCTGATATAGATATGGCATAACTTGTCTGCCTTCAGGTGCTTGTATTTGTGAACTGATAAATATTGATCAGATTTCCATAGGGAGGAGCAGCTTGGCAACATTTCTTAGTCTGTGCTATGAACAGTTCCTGTGGGCAACAAGACACAGCTTTGCATACTGCCCCAAACTAGGGAAAAAAGATTCTGCCGTACGATTTTTATACAACTACTACACGCATTATTGCGGATTGTCTTCACTCAAAGTCAACATTCATTTAAGTGCTATGAGATATTACACAGTAGAGAGCCAAAGCTCTAAACACAAAGCATCCAGCATCCCTTCTGACTGAAGAATAGACATTTGGCCTATATAAAATAATTTTTGCTAGGTAGCAGTACCAGATAGTGGCTTCCCCACATACACCCCAGGGGGGACCCTCAAAAAGTCACACATACGCACTTAGCTTTGTTTGACATTAAACTTCAGCCAGCAGCAAGGCATTATGACTATAAACCAAGTACATGTGGGGTGCTAATCTGAAAGAGATAGTTCCCCCATAGCTAGGGAGGGTGGAAGGAAAAAGCTTGGTCTGTATGCAAATATACAGCTTCTATCTAGAGAGAGTCAACAGTGCAACCTCACAAGTGAAAAAACACAGGATTGCAAGAAGCTGCCAGAGCTGGAATTAAGTGTGGCCAAGAGAAGGACACAGTCCTCTTGCACATTGAGGATCTGATCCTGGGATGAAGATGATCCCCTCATCTCCTCCATATGGAAAGGCAGGAGGTCAAGTACTGCAGATTGTAGCTCCAGACAAAACCAGCAACCTCCTTCAGCGCTGCAACTAAAGGACTAAAGAACAGCAGGGACATACAAAAAAACACTCCTTACATATGGTCAAGGCATCTATACTTCAGGCTGTCTGAAATCTTGTGTCTCAGCACACTGCCTATGATATTAAAAAATAACCCCCCTTATTTTACAGAGGTGCAGAGAAATGGATGCATTCCCCTCTCAAAAGCAGAGCACTGAGCACTTGTAATAACTCCTCACCCATTAATTCATCCTCTAAGTTGAAATCACACTGAAGGATCAGCTATATAGTTGGGCACCTCAACATAATAGCAATGAGCCTCAGCCACCTCAAGACTTCCCTCAGGCTTCACAAGGCGAAATCTCCTTGTTCTTATCACACTTCACAGGAGCAGCACAGAAGAGCTGCGCATTTCACATGCACCATCTGGGTTCGTGCAAGGACCCTGCTGGAACTGGGAGTCCCAAGTGGCCCCAGACATAGGGTGCACTACAGAACTGCACCTTCCACAATTCACGCCTAGTCTGAGTTTATCTTGTCCCCCTAGCCTTAGCCCCAAACACCTGCTTCCCAAATCTGTTTCACCTTCTTTCCTCACTGCATCCTCCAAACCCTGCCACTAAGAATCTTTCCCAACCTGCACAGGGTGCTTCCCTGCAGCTTTTTTGTTTCTGAGCTGTATTAACCACCTCTGATGGGAAAAGCAGCAAAGGGGCTGCAGCAATTGAAGGTGGCACCACCTCTCCCAGCTGCTTCTGAGCAGCATCTGGCAGCTGAAGCAATAAAAGCCAGCAGAGTAACAGCTACAAGGAAGCATCACTTCAAGCCCCACCACATTCTCCAGAAATGCTTAATTGCTCTGTGAGAGCAGCACTCACAGCCCAGGGGCTGCAGACTTCTCCAAGGAAGCAGAGATCTTTAGCTGTCAAGCTCAGCCTCCCAGGAGAACTGAAGCTATATTCCTGATGAGCACCTTCCTCAGTTTTAGTAAGTCTTCCTCAAACTTTTGAGCAGCACCATAGCCAGAAAGGCAAGTTAAGCTCTTGCATGTTTTGCTTTTCTTTCTTGGAGCCTTTTTCTCAGGAGAAAACTACCCTGGCTGAACAAATAGCCCATAGTAGAATGGTTAAGTATACAAAACCCTCCTCCCGTGTGGTTAGCCTAGCAGAAGTCAGCAGCTTAGCAAAAACAGACAAAAACCACCTCAGTTATCAGGAATCCTGAAGACTCTCTCCTCTCGTCCCTCTGCCCATCTTGCACAGCATGACAAGTCAGCAAGTCAGGAACATTTTTCAAAAGGACATGAATTAAGTG